GTTTTATGTATATGTTTGATTACATACAGCCTTGTGACAGTTTTCCTGCATGTCATAAGCATTTGAATATAAATTAAAATGTTAAAATCAAATCTGATATTGTTTTACCTTTCATTTGGTGTGTGGAAGGTGTGCAGAAGAGGGGGTAGTCTTATACGGCGAGTATATAACAAACTCTGTATTTTGAGTGGAAATGTTAGGGGGTCGTCTTATACGCCCAGTCGTCTTATACGCCAGCAAATACGGTACATTAAAGGCCTAACATGAAAAGAAAAACTAAAATCCTTAGAAAATATATAGGAAGGTACAGTCATGATCTTAGGGTAGGGAAGGATTTCCTAAAGACAAAAGAATGGACTAGCCATATAAAAAAAAAATAACTGCGAAGTTGTACTATCATCAAATTTAAAAGTTTCTGTGGGGGGTGGGGGGGGGGGGGGGTAGGAAGAGATTACCCAAAGAACTTTGAAGAGTCTTCTAAACCATTCTTGGGTTAGGTAAGTGGGAATTATATGCGTATAAATAGATTTAATAAAAGATCCCTATCTCCCCAAATCTTTTGTTTCCTCTATATCAGTGGTTCTCAACCTTCTGGCCCTTTAAATACAGTTCCTCATGTTGTGACCCAACCATAAAATTATTTTCGTTGCTACTTCGTAACTGTAATGTTGCTACTGTTATGAATCATAATGTTAATATCTGATATGCAGGATGGTCTTAGGCAACCCCTGTGAAAGGGTCGTTCGACCGCCAAAGGGGTGGCGCCCCACAGGTTGAGAACTTCTGCTCTATATCATTGTGTTTGTTTTCTAGACCTGACTTAACAAATTACCAAAAATGTAGTGTCACAGTTCTAGAAGGCTAGAAGTCCAAAGTCAAGGTGGTGAGTGGCAGGTCCATTAGCTATATTCTACGTAAAAGCTCTGAGGGAGAATCATTCTTTGCCTCTTCCCCTTCACTGGCAATTCCTGGTATTTACTCTCTTGTAGACTTCTCACTCTAGTCACATGGCTGTGTTTTCCCTATGTGTCTTCACATCATCTTCCCCTGTGTGTCCCTGGGTCCAAATTTCCTCTTTTTTTTTTTTTTTTTTAAATCATCACCCGAGGAGGGCATGTTCATTAATTTTTAGAGAGAGGGAGAGAGAGAAACATCAATCAGTTGCCTTTTGTATGCGCCCCAACTGGGAACCAAACCTGCAACCTAGATATTTTGAACCTGTGACCTTTTGGTATATTGGCAGACACTAAAACCAAATGAGCCACACTGGCCAGGGCCAAAGTTCCTCTTTTTATAAGAACAGCAGTCATATTGGATTAGGGCCCACCCTAATGACTTTATCTTAACTTTATAGATTACCACTGTAAAGATCCTATTCCTGCGTGAGCTGGTTTGGCTCAGTGGATAGGGCCTCAGCCCAAGGACTGAAGGGTACCAGGTTCGATTCCAGTAGCCTGTAGGGGTACATGTGGGAGGTAACACAATCGAACTGTCTTTCTCACATCCATGTTTTTCTCTCTCTCCCCCTTCCTTCTACTCTCTAAAAATCAATGGAAAAATATCCTCGAGTGAGAATTAAAAAAAACAAACAAAAAAAACTATGTCCAAATAAGGTCCTATTGTGAGGTACTAGGTGTTAGGATTTCAACAAAACTTTTTTTGGAGGGACACAATTCAGTTCTTCTTCCTCTGTCCCCCAAATTCAGTTCTTAACAGTCATATCAAATTATTTGTTATTTCTAAGAGTTATATGGGGTCTTAGGCCAGTGTTTGCCTAAGTGTTTGCATTAGTTGACCAGAAAAGTTTTAACCACAGTTCTAAACTAGTATGCTGACAGCAGACTATCTGCTTACTGTTTTCTTTATTGATGAATTCAGCCCTATCTCACCACTCCATACATGGGCTCTTTGCTTACCATCTAGAATATGAATGAGAGTCCTGATGCCTTCTACCTCTTATTGATTCATGACTTACATTTTTCTGAGGGGCAGTTGCCTGCAACCTACCCTTTGGAACTAGTTTTGTATTACAGGTCTTTGAAAGTAACACTAACTGACTCAATCTACATTAAATAGGGAAAAGAACTTGGGAATTTATTGGAAGGACATTAGGTAGTTCACAGGTGTCAAATAGAGAGAAGGATACCTCTGAGGTTCTAGTGATAGAAACTGGTGGACACTCATTGAAAGGCTTGCCTCTAGAATGAATCAACTCCAATAGAAGGTGAATGGGTGCTGGACAAGTGTGCACTACAATATCTATATAAGAAAAGCCTAAGTGACCGTTACAGCGGAACCACCAGTCACTATGATGCGCACTAACTACCGGGGGCAGATGCTCAACACAGGAGCTGCCCCCTGGTGGTCAGTGTGCTCTCACAAGGGGAGTGCCGCTCAGCCAGAAGCCAGGCTCACAGCTGGCGAGCGCAGCAGTGGTGGAGGTAGCCTCAGCGGCCTCCATGGCAGCACTAAGAAGCAGCAAGCTGAGTGGTAAGGAGCAGCGAGCAGGCAGGCAGTAAGGAGGGGTCCCAGACTGCGAGAGGGATGTCTGACTGCCAGCTTAGGCCCGATTCCTGGAAGCAGGACTAAGCTGGCAGGTGGACATCCCCCAAGGGGTCCTGGACTGTGAGAGGGTACCCAGACTGCAAAAGGGTGCAGGTCGGGCTGAGAATTCATGCAACCCCGAGTGCATGAATTTCGTGCACCGGACCTCTAGTTATAAATAAGGGCTCAAATAAAAGCAATATAGCCTTTTCTTTCGTTTGGATTATTTCCTAAGAAAAAAATTCTCAAAAGCTGAATTATTTAGTTAAAGATAATCTTTTTTAAAAATAAATTTTATTGATTTTTACAGAAAGAAAGGGAGATAGAGAGTTAGAAACATTGATGAGAGAGAAACATTGATCAGCTGCCTCCTGCACGTCCTCCCATTGGGGATCGAGCCCGCAACCAAGGTACATGACCTTGACCTGAATTGAACCCAGGACTCTTCAGTCCACAGACTGATGCTCTACCCACTGAGTCAAACCAGTTAGGGCTAAAAATAATCTCTTGATGATTGTTAATAACATTTTCAAATTGCTTTCCTAATGGCTTTTTTATATCTTCACTAGAAGCCCGTTGCACAAAGATTCGCGCAATAGGCCTTCCTTCCCCTGGCTGCAGGCACCGGTTTTCCTCTGGCACCCAGAACCCAGGCCTTTGGTCTGGCCGCAGCAAGGCTTGGCTTCTCTGCTGGGGCTGCAGCAGAGAAGCCAAGCCTCTTCAGTCTTCACTCTGGCTGGAGCCTTGAGCCTTCACTCTGTGCCTACGTATGCAAATTAACTGCCATCTTTGTTGGGTTAATTTGCATAGTCGCTCTGATTGGCTGGTGAGCGTAGCGGAGTGACACCAATTCGCATGTTTCTCTTTTATTAGTGTAGATACTTACTTTGGCATTAGAATTCTGTAAGAACTCTTAGCATAATGATTAGCAGTATGATATATTGACTGCGTTTGAATCCCAGGCATCTCCACTTATTACCTGTGTGATTTTGGGTAAAACTTTTGTGCCAGAGTATCCTCCTCTCTAAAATAGAGATAATGATAGTACCTACCTCCTGAGAGATAAATGACTGTATGTTAATTGGTACATA